GAGAGAGAGAGAGAGAGAGAGAGAGAGAGCATGAGCAAGGGAGGGGCGGAGAGAGAGGGAGACAGAATCTGAAGCAGGCTCCAGGCTCTGAGATGTAAGCAGAGCCTGATGCAGGGCTCAAACCCTCGAACCGCGAGATCGTAACCTGAGCGGAAGTCAGACGCTTAACTGACTGAGCCACCAGGCGCCCGTAGGTTACTTTAAGTATAATTGGAGTACATACAGAATAACCATAAGATGATCCCAACTTTCTTTTGGCGCAGCTGGCCGTATATATAATTTTTGCAAATGAAGACAAAGTTCTGAATCAGCTGTATGTTCTGGAAAACCACATCACGTCCTGAGAAATCTCAGGAGATTACTGGAAAAACTTGAAACCTATCAAATACAGTGGATAGAAAAATCACAGGTTGTGGATTATCATCAAGTGCCGTGATCATACAGCATTATTAGCAAAGCTGTAAGTAGTGGAGGAGGGAGTGAGGTTGCTAGGTGAATGATTCATTTGAAGTGTAGTTTGAAAGAAGGTTAAGGTGTATACTGTCATATAATATAAACATCAAGGAAGCAGCAGCAACAAATTCTTAAGGAAAATTACGAAGTAGGTCTAATTCTAACAGTAAATGATTGTATGAAAGTCCATCACCTGCCTTTCCACCAAACGACGACTCCCTGGCCCTTCTTCACCAACGACCACCCAGGAAGATCCAGTCTTGTTGGCAAGTATGGTAACCATTTTTATGTAGGAACTGCATCAAGCTTTCTTCATCTTTGAGTTTATATTATCTGGAACCACACCAGCATTCCCCCACCACGCTTGTTCTTTACAAATACGGACTCGCTTAATCTCCAGTCTGACCCAATGAACTGTGCACGATTATTACCTCCGTTTAACAAAGGAAGAAACGGTGGCAGAGACAGTGAGTAACTTGTGCAGCGTGAGTTAGGTGAGTGGCCGTCAAGATTCAAATCCTGGTACTTGGCTCCAGAGTGGGTCTCCTGCCTACACCCTGATGCCTCACATTTTCTTACATTTACAAGCAAATATCTGCTACCTCAATCTCAGAATGCAATCTGCCTTTCCTCTCCTGAAATGCATCTCCCTTCCTTGTCAGTGTGTATAATTCAATTTATGGCTGTTGGCATGCTACTGTATAACAGTTCCATTTCAGAGAATGTGGAAGACGAGGAAACAGAAATGTATTTCCCCTAATTTGAAGACCGTTCCCCAAATTTCTTATTTCCATTTCCTTATATGCTACTTTATTTTTTTTTTTAATTTTTTTTTCAACGTTTATTTATTTTTGGGACAGAGAGAGACAGAGCATGAACGGGGGAGGGGCAGAGAGAGAGGGAGACACAGAATCGGAAACAGGCTCCAGGCTCTGAGCCATCAGCCCAGAGCCCGACGCGGGGCTCGAACTCACGGACCGCGAGATCGTGACCTGGCTGAAGTCGGACGCTCAACCGACTGCGCCACCCAGGCGCCCCATATGCTACTTTAAAACAAGTTTAATTTCCTGAAGTTTAGGGTATTTTACTGATATCCTAAACAATTAACATAATTTCACTAAGACTTTAATTAAGCCTAATATTTAGTCAATGTTAGTAAGCTAACCTCCCTGAAATAAAAACTATAATAATGAACTGCATTAAAAAAATTTTTTTAATGTTTTTATTTATTTTTGAGACAGAGAGAGACAGCATGAGCAGGGGAGGGTCAGA